AATCCCCAATGAGACAAAATTTCTTTACTTCTTTCAAAGTTTTTGAGATATCTTTCTAAATCTAGTAGTAATATGTCATGCAAATAATGGTAAACTATAGACAATGTAACATCTTTATGGATTTTTACCAATGGCTATTATATAACATATTGACATAGTGTAGGGCTATTTAACATCCCTTTTGGAAAAATTTTCCACTGATACCATTTATTGTGATGAGAATTATAATTATTAATCACTACGTAGGTAAATTTTTCTCTAAAATGCTTTTGTAAAAGTATAGTAAAATGAAAGTTGTTTAAGTAATCACTCCAATAGTTCATCTTTTAGGTAATAAAGAATGGCAAGAGAATTCCAGGCTGTAAAGAGACAATTGGCTGGATAACTTAATTAAAAGCTCATAGATCTGTTACCATTCTCATTATTTTTATTTCTTTTTAATGACAAAAGTAGGATAATTCCAAGGATTTTTAATTTCTATATTATGTTGAGCATTCAGCTATTCTTGCACCAGCTGTGATTTTTGTGATATGAAAGGCCATTTTTCCACCTAGACAGGTATGTTCTTCTTATGTACTACCTGAATTGTCTGTGACTGTTCTTGGTAATACCTTTCAATATTTCAATCAGAAGCATTATTTTATGGTTTGTTTATGAGATTTGAGTAATATATTCTGTGTTTTCTACTGCTGTAACCATCATGTGTCCATAAATTTTTCTTGTGTTAGTTGCATATAGCTTTAATTTCTCTACCTATCTCATTTGGCCCTACACTTTTGACTTTCCTTATACTTTGTTTTACCTGAGATAAAGTTTGAACCCACTAGAAGTTGAATATTTACCTCCTGAAGAGACCAATCTGTATGGTAAGAATTTGTTTACACTATTTTTGCATCTGTCCCTGTGTCTAGGATACTTAAAATGAATTTGGTCATATAGTTTACTTTGGTAAATCATCATTTATAGAAGTTTGCCAGAATACTTATGGAGGCGAAATGTTAGCCATGCCCTCTTGGGGGGTGGCACAAGTGACACAGACAACACCCATTGGGGCATTGTCAGAGTGACCTAGCAAGACCTTAAATATGAGGGTCACACATAGCTGGCTCTCTGTTCCATGGTTTGCCTCGTTGTAGGGGACTGACTCTGTCTTGTGAGTACTTTTTCTAATAAAAATTCTGCTCATCAAACTTGCTCTAATTCCATCATGATCTGCATATGTTTTTTCTCACTTTATTTAGCTGTAGGTGTCTTTTTCTACTTCCACCAGCTGCTAGATGAAGGCTTTAGGATAGGATATAAGTTAGTCTTCAATCTCATTATCAGGAGATGGCATTTAAAGTAGCCTCTCCTCTGTTGCTTAGATCGATAGTAGGTGTAATCTTTGTAGATCTCCAGACATTTTCCTAATGCCTGTAAACCTAAAATGTCTCCCTCTACTATGGAATATCTTATTTTGCTCTCCTCTGTTCTTCCCCTGACTCAACCTTCCTGCTCCCTCCTGTCCTCCTCACACATCCTCTTCTCCCCTTCCCATTCTCCTAGCTCCCTCTCCCCTCCTGCAATGCTCCCGATTTGTTCAGGGGTCCACCTTCCTACTTATACATATGAAACAAGTTTTATTGGGACACAGACATTTTCAACCATTTACATATTCATTAAAGTTTTTTTGTTTGTTTGCTCCTTTTTCATCTGTCTGGAGTACTCATGCACATAGGTATACATGTTTGTTTTTATATATAACTTCATGTGTGAATGGTTGTGTCTGTGGAGCGCTGAATTAATGTCAGGGATTTTTCTGTTTAGTACTTCCACTTTACTAGCTAATATATAGTCTCTTACTAAATCATAGTTTTTGACTCTGCCAGCTAGCTTGTTGTAAAGATCCCATGTTCTCTCTTGCAAGTTGGAAATTTATAGGGAACTGCCATGCCTATCAAGCACATACTTGGCTTCTGAGGATGCAAACCTCAGTCTTTAGGATTATACAGCCATTACTACACATGCTGAGTCATCTTCCCAACTCCAGTGGAGGTTTTTGATAATCCTTTGAAAGACATTTTATTATTTTTCCCATTACATACATTCAGTTATTTCTTTGCAATTTAAAAAGCTTGTGATACTGAATATTTATACATCAAAGTTTATTCTAGATTATTTTTGACTAATTCAGCTAAATAATGGATGTGATAGATGAAAAATAGTCAGAGCTATAGAATCTCCTGATTTGCATCCTCAGTTTGCTCCAGGCAAGCTAACAGCTAACATCTGCTGATACCTGTCACCCCACATATCAGTCATGTTATGAACACATTACTGGTTTAATACTCTCCACATTTACTACTGATGATATGATGTCCATTATAACTTGAATGTGACATCCTGCTTGATGATCTTTTGTTTCATGTGTTCTCTTTTATTAGGGTCAGTAGAGTGTTGACATTGAATTATTATGTCATGAGCATCTGGCCTGCTGCTTCATATCTGCCACAAGGTTATTATCTAAATTGCCCAAATTTTATCATCTACATAGTAAGAAGAAGTATATTACGTTACATAAGACAAATTAAATTTAAAATAGAATAAAAAGAGAAATATTAATGTTTGTATTATTAAATTTAGTATAGTGACATGTTAAAAGTTATACTATAATGACCATATATTTTTACAGTGTATAAATTGTATACCTTTAGCCTGGTGTTGGTGTTGCATGCCTTTAATCCCAGCACTCAATAGGCAGAGGCAGGTGGATCTCTGATAGTTTGAGACCAACCTGGTCTATTAGAGCTAGTTCCAGGACAGCCTACAAGACCACAGAGAAACCCTGTCTTGAAAAACAAAACAAAAATATGTATACCTTTAAGATATTCATATTTATTCAAAATGTGTAAGAAACATTGTACTTTATTCCCAACAAACCACAGAAATATCATAGAAGTGTTCAATATTTGCAATGCAAAAAGTGCATACATCATAACATTTAATCTAAAATTATCTGGCATACAAAACTGGAAAATTTATTACATATAAAATGATTAAGGAATTCTGTACAGCCAAGAAAATTTCTGATAAAAGTAATTAACAAGAATGTGAATAATTATTGTAAATCTTTGGTAATGAAACTGTCTAAAATATATTTTAAGGGCAAAAATCAATTTTCTGAATTTGAATAAAACAACACATAGAAGATAAATCATAGAAGAAAAGGCACTAGAATATTTTGTTAAAATAAAAAGACTGCTAAACTTAGAAAAAAAACACACTTAACAACAACAACAAAAATTAAGAGTCAGGTTGTTTTTTCCCATATTTACCTTTTTCAGTCTATTTTCTATGCAATATATTTGTGGATACATTATAACTGACATTGTCTTTTATATTTTATGTAAAGTATATGGAAAGTTGAAAACTGGACTACTATGATTTGAAATAATTTCTTTACTTTGTCATCATTATTCCACATCTCTGCTCAAGCACAGTGGCTCACTTCACTGAAGGTGCTGCTAGTAGAATACTAGTTCCTCTATTGCTAGATGCCAGTGTGAAACATTGATGCACCAAGAGAGGAACAATAGACTATCACATGAAAGCCATTTTGGCCTGTTGAACATGACCTCTGTTTCTATCATTGTAAATAGAGCATACTTAAATATTATTTAATATTGATTAATTTAACTGAATTATTATTTACATCAGGTAATTTGGTTGATACAAAATAATATTTAGCAAAATAGAAAAATGAGAAAAAGTTAAAATTAAGTATCTGTTTTAAATTATCATTAGAGCATAGTATCAAACATATTCCAATAACTATTACTACATATTTTGTACTATGAGAGACAAAATTAGTTTTACAGATGCCATGCATCATACATTATTTCATATTACCAGAAGATTCTTTCTGAGGAATTAAGCGTGCATTCTTCCTCACAGACAAAGAAGACAAATCAATATCAGTCAAATTTTAGATGTAATACAACTAGATGCCAAATGCCTTCACCTCCAAAATTTAGGAGGCTGATAAACACATATCTGTGAGTACAAAGTCATCCTTGTCTCCATAGTGAATGCCAGCAGTATGAGGGCTCTGTAGAAATATCATATCTCAAAAGGCAAAATATGTAGAAAAAGAAAAAATATTAGACATAAAAACCTAAATTGAGACAAAAGGGCACAGAATCATGGGCAATTAGAAAATGCAAGGTAGCCTACATCACTTCTCATTTGAGTTTTAATAAGAAAGAGCAAAATACATGAGGTGATGATGGAAGTGAGTTTTCAAAGTCTGGCAACTACTAATATATAAAAGGCAATGATACCACATTTTCTCTATCCATTCTTCAGTTTAGGGGCATCTAGGTTTCTTCCACATTCTGGCTATAACAAATGATGCTGCTATGAACATAGTTCAACAAATGTTCAATCCATGTTGCATGACTATGCTTCTTTTGGGTATATGCCTATGAGTGGAATTGCTGGGTCTTTTGGTAGACTGATTCCCATTTTCCTGAGAAATCACCATACTGATTTCCAAAATGGCTTTATAAGTTGACACCCCCACCAGCAATGGAGACGTGTTCCCCTTTCTCCAAATCCTCTCTGGCAATAAGCTACCATTGGTGTTTTTGATTTTAGCCATTCTGACAGGAATAAGATGGTATCTCAGGTAAATCAAAATTGATTTGCATTTCCCTCATGGCTAAGGATGTTGAGCACTTTCCTATATGCCTTTCAGCCATTTTAGATTTCCCTATTGAGAATTGTCTATTTAGTTCTGTACCCAACTTTTTTTTTCCTTTTTTGGTTGAATTTTGCTCAAGGAATTGCCAACCAAATAAGTTGAGAACCATGGTGTTGAGAAAAGACCTCAAAAAAGGGTGACTGATCACAAGAGGGAGTGGGGATGGGAGGGAAATGACTGCAACTTGCTTCCAGGGACTGGAGAAAATTGAAAATAAAAGAAAATACAAAAGAGGGTTGGAATCCATCTTTCTTCTGTGCTAGTTATCCTTGCCTTCATCCCCATGTCCTTCCTCCCCTTTGTCATCATCTTCATCTTCTTCACCTTCATCTTCATCCCCTTCTTCATCTATATCTTCCAAGTCTTCCTCCTCTTCTTCATCATCATCATCATCTGCCTCTCCTTCTTCATCATCCATATCAGGAACCAAATAGTACTGCAAGGGGTTTGGCCCAATATCGTCTTTGATGATCTCTCCTAATTCATCTGCACCTGCATCAGAATGGTCAGTAAACCAGGTAAAGAAGCTCCCTGGATCTTCATGTGCCTCTTCCTGCTGACCTTATCTGCGTTTGACTTGAGTGTTTTGTCAAATCCTTTCCAGATTCCTATTTGATCTCCTTGGACTTTGATGACAGGTCACCACTCTCACTCAGATGAAATTCTTTGGAGAGAACTTTATTTTCGAAGTAAGGATTTTCATCAAAATAAAAATCTATTATGTAACCTGATTTAATGTCTTCAAATTCTGTCACTTCAACTCTGGTTAATTAATGCAGACCCTCTTAATCTTCCTCCCCAAGCAGCGTTGACAAATGTTGCTACCCAAAAATTTGGGATTTTGGCGATCAATTCTGACCCCTTCTGAAAACATGGCTGTGGGAGTTTGTCATATTTTTGTTCTACTTTCAAAATTTCCTCACTGGCTTGTTCATTATGCCAGTCTATTTCATTTTGTACTTCATCAATGTGTTCAATTGCTACTTGCTGTTCTTGTTCTCCCTTCGGCAGGCCAAGAGAGGCAGGCTTGTCCTCCACCTTCACTGCAGGGACCGACTTGGGCTTCTTGGACTGGGGCAGGAGCTTAGATTTCCATTTTGGGGCCATGGCACAAGAGAAGTTGCAAGAGGCCATCACCCAGAGCCTCGGGGCTCAGAGCAGGAAGAAAGTGGAAGGAACTGCAGGAACATCAGGTGTGGGAGTGTACCCAAATTTTTAATTGGATTGTTTGGTGTTTTGGAGACTAGCTTCATTAGTTCTTCGTAAAATTTGGAGACCAGCCCTCTGTCAGATGTGGGGTTGGTGAATATCTTTTCCCATCCTATGGGCTGCCATTTTGTCTTGCTGACTGTGTCCTTTGTCTTAGAGAAACTTCTCAGTTTCAGGAGGTCTCATTTATTAACATTCAATCTCAGTGTCTATAATCTTCAGGAAGCTGTCAACTGTACCAAATCCACTGAAGGATAGATCCCACTTTCTCTTCTAAGAGGATCAGTGTAGCTGGATTTATTTTGAGGTCTTTGATCCATTTGGACTTAAGTTTTGAGCATGATGATACACATGGAATTATCTGCAGTCTTCTACATGCCAGCATCCAGTAATGGCAGCACCATTTGTTGAAGATGTTTTCTTTATTCCTTTATATATCTTTAGCTTCTTTGTCAAAAATTACGTGTTTGGGCTGGGCATTGGTGGTGCAGGCCTTTAATCTCAGCACTAAGGAGGCAGAGGCGAGCTGATGTCTGCGAGTTCGAGGCCAGCCTAGTCTCCCTAATGAGTGCCAGTTTAGGTTCCAAAGTTATACAAAGAAACACTGTCTCAAAAAAACAAAAAATAGGTGTTTGTGGGTAATATGGGTTAATATCAGGGTTTGAATTTGATTCCATTGGTCTCTGTCTATTTTTATGCCAATACAAAGCTGTTTTTAGGACTATAGCTTTATAATAGAGCTTGAAGTCAGGAACCATGATGCCTCCAGAAGTTCCTTTATCGTACAGGGTTGTTTTCGCTAATTCGCCATATAAAACTGAGTATTGTTCTTTCAGGATCTGAGAAGAAAATTTGGTACACTGACACAATGCAGTACTACTAAGCAAAAAAAAAAAAAAAAAAATGGAATCTTGAAATTCACAGTGAAATGGATGGAACCAGAAGAAATCATTCTGAGTGAAGTAACCCAGTCTTAAAAAGACTAACTAAATCATATATGGATTTTACACATGGAGCAAAGGATTACCAGCCTATAATACACATCACGAGAGAAGCTAGGAAACAAGGAGGAAGCTAAGAGGGACATGCGTGGTTCCCTGGAGAAGGGGAAAGAGTCAAGATCTCATGAGCAAATTGGGAGCATGGGTGGAGGGGAGAGGGAACAAGGAGAATGAGAAGGGAAGAAGAAGAGGGCTGAGGAGGACATACAGGAACAAGAAGGTTGTGTAGGGGAAGGAATAGAGGAGAGTAAAATAAGAGATACCATAAGAGAGGGAGCCATTATAGGTTTAAAGAGAATCAGGAACTTGGGAAATGTTCAGAGATCTAAAATAATGACACCAACTAATAATCTAAGCAACAGAGGAGAGGCTACCTTAAATGCCCTCCCATGATTAGATTGAGGACTAACTTATATGGCATCCTAGAGCCTTCATCCATCAGCTGATGGAAGTAGAAGCAGATACCCACAACTAAACACTGAACTAATCTGTTATCAAGTTGCAGAGAAGGAGGAGGGATAAGCATAGGTGTCAACACAAGGCATGTGAAACCCACAGAAACAGATGACCTGAACAAGGGGGAATCTCTTGACCACAGACAGATAGCTGGAAAACTAGCATGGGACTGCTCCAGACCCCATGAATGAGGGTGTCAGTGAGAAGACCTTGGAAATCTATGGGCCCCCTTGTATATCAGAACTTATTCCTTCCACAAAAATGGACTTTGGGAGCCCATTCTACATAGAGGGATACTCCCTGAGCCTAGACACATGGGATGGGCTTGGGACCTATCACAAAGGATATGACAGACTCGGTGGATCCCCCATGGAAGGCCTCACCCTCCTTGGGGAGTAGAAATGGTTTGGGATAAGTAGGGTGTTATTAGGGGACAAGGGAGAAGATGAGGGAAAGCAAATGGGGAATAACATGTAATAAAATCTAGTTTCTTATTAATAAAAATGGAGAAAATGGCAATTATTCATATTCCACTTTGCCCTTTTATAGCTACATTAGCATAGTCCTTTGATAGAACTTTTTTTCACATAGGATGGAGAGATTTCTCAAACTTTATTAGGCGGAGCGCTATATTTACACCTCTCTCTTCTTCAGACTTACAATATTTTGATTCACTTTTATGCAGTCACCAGTCTTGTAATATATTTTCCAATCCCAAGTGGTCAACCCTAAACACTTGTGCATATGAGTAAGACTACACAATTAAGCAGATTGTGTATTTATGTACCACAAGATAAGTAATAACTACTGAATTATTTTCTGATATGAGTGAAATAATTCCATCATAATTTTAAAAAGGTAATTCTTATAAACAGTGGTTATTCTTTCCTGTCAGGTCCAATAGCCACTTTTAAATTAACCATACATTGGCAGAATATTAACTTAACCCACTTCTATTAATCTACATATTAATATGTGGTCTATGGCTTACTGGTTCTTTAATGTCTTGTCCCTTGCTTAGCTGGATTACATGTGCTCAGGCATTAACATTCTTCTCCAGTATCTCTGCTTGAGTACACGCAATGCCTGTCTTTTTATGACTGGGTTACCTTTCTCAGAATGGTTTCTGATAGTTCTATGCATTTTCCTTCAAAATTTCAAGATTCCATTGTTTTTTCTGATGAATAGTACTCCATTGTGTAAATGTACCACATTTTCTCTATCCATTCTTCAGTTGAGGAGCTTCTAGGTTGCTTCCAGATTCTGGCTTTTAGAAATAATTCTGCTATAAACATAGTTGAACAAATGTCCTTGTTATATGAATGTGCAACTTTTGGGTATATGCCTCAGAGTGGAATTGCTGGATCATGTGGTATATTGATTCCCATTTTCCTAAGGAGTCACCATACTGATTTTGAAAATGGCTGTACAAGTTGGCAGTCCCATCAGCAGTAGAGGAGAGTTCCCATTTCTCCATCTTCAGCATAAACTTCTTCATTTTTATTATGGTTATTGATTTTTAGTTTTTTTGAGGATTTTCTTGTGTATTACTATTTATGTCTTTTCATCTATATGTGCTTTTTTGGTTTTTCTTTTGACTCTCTTTTTCTTCATTTTTTTTTATTCTACTATGGCTTGCTCATTTTGTTTGTATCTTATTTTATTACTGGTTTTAGATATTTACATATTTTACAATAGGAGAGAATGACAGTCTGTAGCTACTTTTATGGGGGAGCTGGAAAGAATTTGGGGGGTGTTGGGGATTAGAAACCACAATCAGAATATACTCATGGTGTTCTCTCTCTCTCTTTCTCTCTCTCTATGACATGTAAAAGAAGCTTGTTTCTAATTGAAATTTTTTTCTCATTATGATTATAATAATAATAAAAAGGATATACTGTTTGAAAAAATATTTTCTGTAGCTAAAATTTTAAATATTTTTTCATTGGTAATATATAAAATTTTCACTATTTTCACATATTTTATTAAATTACTATATCAAAAGTTGATTGGATAATAAGGACAAATTTCAAAAAATAATGTAGAAAGAAGTTAATAATTAAAGCATTTCCATAATGATGTATATGTCAAAGTTCTCAGCAACATTAATTGGATACTCAATAATTTTGCACATTAGAAAAAAAGAAAAGCAAAAATAAATATATATAAGCTTCCCACCTCCTGCAAAAATTAATCTAGTATAATATATGATTCCATTAATTGAAAATGCAAATGAATTTCTAATGATAGGATGAAGTTATGTGAAATAAAATTGAAACATGTGGGAGGATGGGAGAGACAAAGCACAAAATGTTTTTAGGTACTTCTGTTCATATGCCCACTATTATTATGTTACAAAAGGTTTTTCATGTATAAACTGAAAAAATTTTTCAAATCATGCATTTTAAAATTGTCCAGATTAAAAACATGTTGTTAAGTAAGTTATGCCTGCATGGAATTGTAATTAAATAGTATTAATGCCACTTTAAAATAAAAAATGTAGTTTAGAGAAGTAATTCTTTCATTGATGAAAATAAAACAATTAAATATTGAAAGAGTGAAGCTTCAATTATTATACTCTGATTGTAGGTCAAGCCAGTGAAATTCTAAGTTTTTTTTTCTCAGAGTGAAAAATGGAATAATAAATTTAATATATTGCTTTTCAAGACTCAGTAACATGGGAGAAATTTTCAAAGTTCTCTTTTTCAAAAACTTAATTGTTCTCATATTTCCTTGAGAGAAAAGCCATTTCTCAACATTGCTAACTTGTTTCCCAAACAATCTAAAAACCACTTCTTACTAAACTGTATTAAAAAACATTTAAAGTGAAAATCTTTCAGAAGAAGTAAAAGATTAAATTGCCTCATTCCAGAAACCTTTATATGATTTAAATTTAACAGTGACAAAACAAATCAATAATTAAAAGTAGTTCATATGGTAATTGCAAGTGGAAAAATTGTGGAGAGGGTTTGGATCTCCTCTGCTTCTGTGAAGACTGAAAGGGCTCTCATGGTAAGCATTAAAATCATTCAGGATCTACTTTGTGTTGTCCACCCGGGTCAGGCAAGGGTAATCCTCAGTGGTTGACTTGTCTTTCCTGGTACACATTTTAAGCATGATGAAAGGGATATTGTTAATCAACTTTTTTTTTTTTTTGAGGAGCACTATGTTCAGGCAGCAACTGAATATGAAATGTTTCCTGAGATAGCCTACAGAACAATGAAGTCCTGAAGAGGAAATGCAACTTTCCTATGAAGAGTTTGCATAGCATTGTGAGAAACTGATCCATGACATGGAATTCAACTCCCTCTATTCAGTGTGTTCTTGGAGAACTACCCTTCCCACAACCTTTTCAATTTAATTCTACTCTAAATATTCATCCTGATATATCACCAAGCATAGTGGGAGTTTTTATAATAGTAAGTTTATATTCCATGCCTGCATTTATCACATGCCAGTATCCTCTT